TGCCCGGGCGATCTTCCTAATCTCAAAATGTATTAACTCCACAGCCCTGGAAATTGTAAAGATGACAGTAATTGAAACTTCAAAAAATTTTTTTGACAGTAAGAAACAAAAAGAAAAAAAATATGAAATGTAAAAAAAAAAAAACCAAATCGTTGCAATCTTACTGCAGCCAAAATGCAATATGCTAATGAAGGATAATAGATGGCGCACGAGCTTAAACACATGGATTTGCGTGAGAAATGAAAAAGAAACTAAGATTGATGTGTCGAGAACTTATACAGAAACTAAGACTAATGCGTCTGGACTGATTCATTGCCCTAGCACTGGACTTTTTTTTTACAATAAATTTGCGTTAAGTTACACAGCTTAGATTAGTTTATGAGCATTGCAAAATTGTTACTGAGATTCCGAGATGTAAAAATTTTCAGGTCTAAATCAGGATCTTTGCGTGAATTCTTGAGCGATTACGAAAATATCGTGAACGGTGGAGGACAAGGAACGCAAATAAGCGAACGAGCAGGTACTGGAGAATCAGGCTACCGTAGCGAATCTGCTTACGAAGAGACTACATCCAGAGCGCGTTTCGGTGGTCCCGTCGATCCTGTGTATAGTAGGTCAGTCTGTTCAAGCCATTAATTTAAAATGCAAATTCCGCTTTACGTATTTTAAGAAATCTTCCGAAGACGCTTAATATCACCTCAAATTCAATCCAGACGTCCTCATATCTTTGGCCAGTTTCTTTTATACATATGTGTCTGGATTTGGAAATGAGCCTATATCCAGAAATTGGGCTTTGAAATGAAAGAAAGCTGGTAAAGCAAAGTTTGGGTACCTTGAACATGACGTGTCTTAACTAAAAACTTCAGGCCATCTCCTAGATCTGTATGCATTTTAATTTATAGACGTCAATCCGAGCTCATGCAATCCCTGTCCCCCGCTCCTCCTCCGGAAATGTGCTACCTCAGAAATATTGATTTAAACATTTTGCTTAAAAAAATCAATAATTCTCACTATATCCTTTTTCAACGCGACCTGGAATTTTTAAGTTACATATACCAGCAGATGCTGGTATATCCCCCAATAGGGAACTTCTGTACAATTCATGACGCATTTCAAAAAATGCTGTGCGAGCGTCGCTTGCTTCTGCACAGTAATGGCCTCGCCTGCAATTTAACTGTATGAAATTCAATGGATTTTAATGGCTTTTTTGAGCTAGCTTAAAAAAAAAACTGAAATTGTGCTGAGAGCAACGAATAAAATAGATATTGCATTTTTGCGAATACATACATTCCCAGCAGATGTTTCGTCTCAAAAAATTCTATTACTCACGTGGTCCTGCAAAGTTAGTACTGTTTTTGGTACATGAATTTACGTGTAAATTTACGACAGCTCACGTAATGTTACGCGCCTTGTTAACATCACACGTAAATAATGCAAGAAATGTTATGCTTGATTAATTTTTTGTACCCAGTGGAGCAGGAACTCCGAGATTTGGGTCAACACTATTCAAAATCTCATACTCCTGCCGTGTGGTTGGCAACTTTTTCAATTATTTTGACCAATACTGCGTCTGGTGGGCAGCTCGCATAGGAAATCTGTCGTCCATTTTGTTTCTTAAAAAAATTTTCCGCTCAACTCGAGATGTCCTTGATACGTGTTGAGTGTTAAGATTTCGATTCGAATGTTATTTCCCTGGGTTAGGATAAATCATCTTACTGAGGAACTCGTTACCATATGAATACAACGGATTAATCAGCAGAAAATTCTGGTAGCCCTGCTATTATTAACTCATAAATTTCGAAACTACTCTTTTTGATTAACATAACAGTACGACAGAAAATTGAAGTAATCGAAATTTTTTTCAAAGAATTTTTTTTCATAAATTTTTTCTTATGACGAAGAAATGATAGAAAAATTTCAACCCACTTTTCTTTTGCGGGAAAGCGCGTCCTTGCTATACTGAAAATTTTTGAAAAACTCGTCCAGTTTTTTTGTGATCAGTAAAAGTTATCAATAATCTAAATACCAGGAAAAATAAGACCACCCAGGCTATGGCTATCAGTGTCGGTATCCCGCATTAGTAATTTCCTAAGATGCTTCCAAATTCCGAGTACAGATGTGCCGAGTCTTTCTGTCTTAAACTACATACTTCCATTTAGTATCCATCGCCTGTGCGCCACCTTTTTTGCGTGGTCCACCCAAGTGATCGTCTTCTTTTTTGCGAGTATCACCCACTAATGCGCAGCGCCCTCTCTACAAACAATCAACATACATTTGGGATTCAGTTGTCACTAAAAAATTCAGTTGTCACTAAAAAACCTTAAGCCTCTCAACTTTAAAAGGGAACTTTCTTCGCTAAAAATTGTTTTGGAAGTATGTTTTCCGTGCAGATTTTCAGGATTGATGCGAAAATTGTAACGTTGGATTGCTTTCTAATCCTACCCGTCAAATATTTGTCTATGTGCAAACAATATGTTTTGTATCAA